GTTTTCCATCTGCAACCGATTCAAGACTAAATATGCGGGACCTTTTTGAAAAGCACAGTATTCAAACTTCTGCCTTTTCGTGCCGTATTAGCAAAGAACCGACATACTAGCCAGTTCTTAGTTCACCGAGTTCAACAGAGTTTGAACGAATTCAGATGGAGAAGAGCCCAAAGGAGCAAAGTTCAAAAGTTGTCAATTTAATAGTTCCTCAATTATCGAAACTATTCTAGATAAATATATACATTCTAACTTCCGAGATTCCAATTATGATCTAATTTTACTTAATTAATGATTCAGTACCCTATATAATTTCCGCCACATAGTTTTTGCATATTGTCGTCAGAGAGACGTATGGGAAAACTATTTAAATACTAATTGCTCTACATTATTTTCCACTATTATTTTTTGCAATATATTTGCGCATTATTTTTCCAAAGCTCCCGATTCATAATAAATAATAATAAATTTCGTAATATCGATATAAATTTGAGGAAAGTTGTCATAGGAACATGGAACTAATTCTATATGCCCAACTACCACACTCGCATTGAAACAGTTGTCAGGAGGGCTCGCTTGTCTTGACAACTTGAAACATTTTTTTAAAGAAAAACTTCTTATCGTTTTGCCTAATTTAAAAATTCCTTATTTCACTATTGCCATCAAGAAACGCAGGGTCTAACCATTCTGGTTATTACGTGGTCTGTGAATTAAGAAACGTAACACTCGATCTGGCAACACTGGAGGCACCGGGTATGGAGGGGAGACAGGAGAACATTTGATCTGACTTCAGTACGTAAGTTTTTCCTATTGTCCTCTAAGAACGAGGGACATCAATTTCGAGCAATTGTGGCTTCAGTAGGAAGTTATTTTGAGGGTGACAATATAAGATTGTAATCATATTTGAACAATTTTAAAAATTAGTCTCATCACTTAATTTACAGACCCTGTATGTTTATACACTGAAAAAATATTTCATATGAATACTGAAACTACTAGTACTGATTGGTTGACAATTGTCCAATCGCGCACAAGGCATTTGAAGCATATTTACAATAAGAAACACCATCTGAACTTATATTTGCTGTTTTTTGCATATACATTTGATTTAAAAAGGAGTAAATTGAAATTTAAAAAGTTAAAATCGGTCCACCGACTACAAAGATATGTTGAGTAAGCGTTTTACAACTTTGCGGCCGTTTTTAAATTTAGCGGTCAAACGACCACGATTTGGATCGCGTGACCATGTTTTATATATATACGCCTACTACTACTTAGACCGCTTCTATTCCATCATTTGCCAGTAACAATTCTAAATGGTAGATGAATATTATCACACCGTTTGGTTTCGGGAGGAAACAGGCAATCAAACTAACAGTATTACTGAAAATTATGCAAAAAACAAATTAACTCAGGATGTTGAGAACATTTTTCAAACAGCTACGGGGAATTTTAATGACAAGTTCAAGGTAGCAACAATAGCTGTTAGATGGATAACACTTGAACTTGACGCTTTTACTACCTGCTGGAATCATCAATCATTTGTCGTATGCATAAAGAAATAGACATGGGAATACTCAGGTAATGAGTCACTGGAATTGAGAAGAATTTGTACTAGACAAAGGTTCATCATTAGGGAATGTTACAGGCTACTGTACCTTTGTATACTGTGTAAGACGAGATGAAATCCTTGTATTCGTGTGACAAATCTCAATTTTTGATTATATTGTATATGCGTAAAATGTTGAAACTAGGATATTTATTACGTTTTTAGATGTTATATGACATATCACTCATTTCCATCAGTCTGTCCGTCAGTCGATCAATCTGTCCACAACCCCTTGGCCTATCTATAATTTGAAAAATACTGCTGTTCGGATGAAGTTTATATACTAAGTGACCACTATGCAAAGGATGAAAGAGCTTTGCAGTTTTTGAAAGTCGGTCGAAAACCAAAAAAAAAGAATCGCTCAAACTTCGTTCTTTGGCATCATTTTTGGACAATTTTTGGCTCAATCATAGCTAATTGCTTCACGAAAATTTTATCTAATTTTCAGTAAATATTGGGAAAATTGGTTATAGAAAACGTTATTCACCTCAGAGATTACTCTTCACTTAAGCAGCCCCGCTGTTGCATTTTCCATTGTTTAGGTCTATGCTGCTAAGGATTTCATCTTTACCGCTTTAAAATAAATCATTCTTGAAACACACTTCGGTAAGGGAAGGTTTTAGCTTTGATTTAGGTATTTGGCAACCTCAAAAATAATATTTTTTAATCGAGTTCATAATCATCGAAGATGAGTATTTTTAGGGCTTTTCAGACCTAAATTTGCATATACCTTGGAAACGATTAACTTTAGAGAGAGTTACTAAGGACATTCTTGTCCAGAACGATCCAAGAAATCAGAAAAAAATTGTAATGATTTAAGAGGGGAGGGGATAAAAATCGATCAAAATGTGGACCAGCAAGAACCGGATTCTTCTTTCTGCATCAATATAAAAAACACTTACACATGTTTATCACTAAAATCCAATTTGTAATGAACAAATGGAGTTAATTAAGGCTGAAAATAGTGCCTCTTTTCTGAAACATATTGTCTTATATTAGCATACTAAATGAAAGACAACTACGAAGCAAATTACTTCTAAGTATAGACTAATCTGGTTCGCTTGGCAATATAAAAGAGAGCCAACCAAAAAGGTCTGCTAGTTGCCAGCATGAGCAGACTCTCAAACTGTGTTTGTGTTACTTTTCTGTTTGTTGTGGTTGGTGTGGCTTCAAGTGATGGTGAGCAAACCCTTTTTTAATTACGTTTTATTGAAGTAGCTGTACGTATGTCCGAGATTATTCCAAAAATTATAGTATAGCGCTTTTTGTTTGGTTTCACAAAACTCAGTCATCAATGCCTAGCTCCCGGCTTTCTGACTAGCACCTTTCTTATGCCTATACTCACATTGTATACTTTTCTTGAGAATCGAAGTTTGAATATTTTTTCGGCAAAAATAACGATACCAAAAAACAACTTTTATAACACATGCCCACAAAATGTGTGTGCTGGGAGCCCCAGTATATCTCTTTCATCTATTATTTTCCACTGACCAAGGATCTGAAGTCAGAATTGGGGGTCGTTGGACAAATCCGAAAGTAATTTATGCGTCAAGATAACATATACTAAGTGACATATAAATCCGAACACCCAGTTTAAATGGTTTTATTTTAATAAAATTTTGTATAAGTACTTAATGAAGCATGATAAGTAAATGATAAAAATTTCAAAATGATTGCACTGCTTTAAAGCCCTTTGACCTTTAATAATGTGTGGATGCACCCTGATGTGCTACGCATTCTCTAACGCGCCTAGGCATTCTTCTGATCAGGTGGTCAATGTCCTCCTGTGGTATCTCATTCCAGGCAACCACCAACTCCTCTCGAAGTGCTTCTAGAGTCTGAGGGGGACGTTGCAAATAGAGCAATCTCCTACCCATCATATCCCACACGTGCTCAATTAGGGATCAGTCGGGAGATCTTCATTATGTTGAAAGAAGTCTATTGTGACTCTTGCAACATGTGGTCGGGCATTATCTTGTTGGAAAGTTGGATCTGCCAGGGTGTCAAGATAGGGTAAAAGATGGGGTTCTAGAACTTCGTGGATATAACGCTGCGCGTTCATGTTACCTCTGATGAAGATTAAAGGGGACCTGGAACCATAAGCTATAGCACCCCAAACCATAACTCCAACAGTGTGATGAACATGTCTTTCAACAAAAAACTGTGGATTCCTCCTTTCACCACGTCGCCTTCTAACCCTGGCACGACCATCGTGCATACCTAAACAAAATCGAGACTCGTCACTAAAGACAATACTGTTCCATTCCTGATCCCAGAGTGACCGTTGTCTGCACCACTCAAGGTGATTACGTCGGTGTTCTCGAGTTAAAGGGAGGACCCAGTGTGGCCGGTATGAAAACAAGCCAAAACTTCTCATTTGTCGGTAAACACTTCGCATGCCAACAGGTCTTCCGTGATCTGCAAACCATTCATTTGCAATGGACCTGGTAGTGGAGAAACGGTCCCTTAAGGCCAATAATCTTAGGCGGCGATCTTCACGGTCTGTTGTTCTACGGCGGCGTCCAGTGCCCCTTGCTCTTTGCGTACGGCCTTCTCGAAGCCATGCCTGACAACACCTAACCACAGTGTCTACACTTCTTTGCACTCTAACTGCAATTGCCCGAAAAGAAAGTCCAGCTTCCCGAAGTCCCACTATACGGTCCCTATCAAACTCACTAAGTTGACGAAATCGTACAGGTCTCCGTACTCTAGGCATCGTAACCGATCGTAAAGGATGTCAAGAACCAAAATCTGCCAACGTTGATTCTTTACTGCGGCTGAAATATTCATTTTTAGAGCGTTAGTGAATTAAAAAAAAGCTGTATAAAAACCGGAATGTCCAACTGATAAGACTGAAAATTTTTTCACTTGTTATTCACAGTAAGATAAATACATTCCCCAACTTTTATTAAAATAAAACCATTTAAACTGGGTGTTCGGATTTATATGTCACTTAGTATATTTTGGTATTTTTTTTGAATGTGTATCCTTTAAGAGATCTCCGAAAGATGCAGATCCACCTCAAATACAACATTTATAATTCTGATGTCTAAATTACTTTCATGTTTGTACATGAACCCCTAATTGCGACTTCGTGTTCCGCAGGAAAAATGCAAGGGAAAAATATAGTCAGACTCCCAGCACGTACCACTTTTTATTTTTTGTGGACCTGTGATGTGATTTTTATCCTTATTAAGCGTTTTCTCCAAGATTTTTCCATCAACTCTTAATTTTGACTGCAGACTCATGTTCATCAAGAAAAAGTACATAGGAAAAATATGGTGAGACCCCATTACACCCCAATTCTTTATTTTGTGGAATTGTTGAGCGTTATTAAAAGGTCTTCGCCAAAAAGTCTGGTCACCGTGAATATTCTTATAGAGCTGTTTTGCAGGTTTGAAGTTCTACAGAACCTACCATGCACCTAGGAATAGAAAGGATAGTGACATGTCGTACAGTGGTGGTAAGTGAATTCAAAGCTTTGATAGTAAGTTTATGAGTATTATGCTACTATTTTCACAATTTTTGGCCGTTTCGTCACAATGCTATACAAATAAGTAAACAGAATGACTGACTGTACCATGTACGGAGTTTAACATTCCTAAGAGAAACTGCACAATGGAATGTCCAACCGTACCGCAGATGCTACTCGCTCTTGCACACACACATGAATTAGGAGATAGCGGACCGTTGTTCTTTCTGAAAATACTCAAATAAATTTAACGCGGACTGTGGACAATGTAGTTGTATCTTCAGGCACTGCAACTTTTTGTATCCAATGTCAACAAAAGGTAAGGTCAAGTATCACGCCCATTTCAACCAAGTTGTACTGACAATGACAGCAGAAATGTAGAAGACTCGCGTGATGGCGATAAAAATGTTCAAGGAGGTGAGACAAGGCTGAAAGCAACTGTTACATATGGCGAAATTGCAAAAAAGCTTCCACTGTCCAACGTTGCAGCTTCATATCTGCAAAAATGATTTCCTATCAGTCCTGTACTGTAATATCCGAGACATCTATCCAACTAAATTCGTGTTGTGCTTCGAGGAGAATACTTGCTCCGTATACCTAGTTGATTGCCAACAGTATTGTTGTTGCTTATACGGTTTACAAGACACTAGTTTGTTCCATAGACACATCATGATATTGTTATACCTTGAGAGATATATTTGATTCATTACTATTTTAATATCAATAAAGGAAAGTGCGTGCTTTGCTTCTTGTATAGCATCTGTGCGTTGACGAGAGTCGGTACAAAAGGTTGACTAAACTACAGAGAGAACAGATTCGCAAATAATCATATTTGCTGCCCAAAATGAATATTAAATGAAATACATGCAGATTAGTCGTTTTCTAGCCGATCACTCGAGAAATGCAACCAGTGAGTCAAAGACTATTGTATTACATAGGCATACTAAATGAAATCACTTCAGCCAAAGTTCCATTCTATAGGCAAACGTTTTTCGAAAAAAATCTTCTGCGAGCCCAATTTTGTTTAAGAAAATTTGTCAAAAAATCATCGATGCTACAGTGGTAGTCCTAGGTAACTTTAATGAACTTTTGGTTAGACAACTAATATCTCACTAGCTCAAAAAACCAATCTGTCCCTCTATTGTTTGCATTGTTTTTAGTTCCGCTGTTAAAACCATAATTTCTGGACCACCAGTTGTCAAAAATAGAAAATTTCCTTGGATTCCCTTGCATTTTCATAATATTTGACAAATGTTAAGAGAGAAATAACAACTAGACTGACGCAAAAACTTACACTACATATCTGTTACTGCAGATTCTTTTCTGTTCCCTTTTCATAATCATTGCTTTTTTTTCCGGAAAATATCAAAAAATTGGAAAAAAATGCAATTTCACCGATTTTCTTCAATTTCTGACATGTTTGAGTACGAAACCAATAATATTCAGTAAATTCAAGGATTTTCCAATTTCTGAGAAATGTCTAGGACAATATAAAGAACGGGGAAAAAGAGATTCACGAAATGTTAGCTAAGTCTTGAAGGAACAGCGAAAACTCGGTTTTTCCCATTTTTAGCAATTCCCCGGGATAAAATCATGCGTTGGAGAATGTAATTAAGAAGAACGCACAAAAAGACATACCAACTGAGTTTTGGGGTTTTGATTTCATACTCAATAAATGACCAAATGTGAAGTAAAACGGAGACATGGGGCTTTTCAGATTATTGCGATTTTCAAGAAAATGTCATGATTAAACAGTCGAACTGAAAAGAAGGTAGGAATATGCAGATATACAGTTTCATAATCACCTAACTAGAAATTCTAGGACGTAACAATGTAGCATTAATGGTTGTTTAATTTTTTTAAGCAAAATTGCACCTGTAAAAAAATCAATTTTAGGTTAGAAGCCCCTATAGACCGAAGAGGATGAACCTAATTTTTACTAATTGCTTTATTTGGGTTTTTTGTGGATTACCCAAATACACACAAATGAAATCAGATAAGTTGAAGTATATTAAGCCTGCTATCCCAGAGTCCTTAGTGTTAGGAAACATGTTTCTGAGATAAAATCAGAAGTATATATTAAATCAACTTTTTCCGGAGAATTCTTAATTCTAGAATTTAGAATCAAATAATCCACCATGATTCTAGTAAATGATCTGTATCTATTAAAAGAAAAATCAAAAGCTAATCAATAATTCAACACATAGTGCTCGACTTGTCGGAAAACATGCATAATCTGATCGAATCGAACAAAACAACATGAGTAATGAAATGACGTCAAATAGATTGATGATAAAAATTATTCTAATTGTATCAATTACACGTTGAATCACCATGAGGCTGGATGATATTTCCCTTTCCGGAGTGCTTAAGCCATTCTTGAATGTTTTAGAAAAAAGCACTATGCAAAATGGTAGGTACCTGTCAAATTCTGAAGAAGTTCGTTGTTTCTGGGGTTTCAAGAAAACTAGTACACGACAAATGCCTGAAATAGCAAAGAAAATAACTGAGAAATGCAGAACTATACAGGGTGAAGGCCTAAATGGATATAAGTACACATCACGCTAGATGGCGCTACCAGTAGCTGGATATACTTCGCATAGTATGTTCTATGCATGTTTTATTGTTCCGTGTCAAACGTGCTTGAGAAATTGACACTTCAGTACTACTTCAGATGCTTTCAGTTTAAAAAGTTTCAAAGTACATTATGTTAAGGTGCTAATCTACCTTCATATATCTATAATCGATTTTGATTAGATAAATTTTCAAAATGGTTCAAAAATAAATATTGCTTCGTCATAGGATGTAATCATCAGAATTTTACAGAACCAAATTCAAGATACATCCGATATATTCCAATAATGTGTAGCATAAGGTAATCCCAAATTTAACAATTTGGCAATGGGATCTAGTATTATGTTTGTTGATATTTTTCTGCAGGTGAAGTAGACGATTTAAAAGAGAAGACACGCATCCTCCTACCGAATCATGTAGTTGTATTTTATTTATAGCCTGTATTCGTCAAATTACAAAAAATACTTTTGATAAGCAAGTAAAACACGCTATTTACCCGTTTAGTTCTTTTTATAACTCTTACACTCAAGGTTTTAGCCATATATAGTTACATACACCTCACAACAGATGGCGCACCTAACACCAACAGACCGGCCTTTCGTTCTGAAGAGAAATGTTGTACGGGAGCTACCTGGTACCAGGAACAGGAAACGATTAAATCGTAGCTTCTAATCTTTCTGTCCCCATCACTCAGTAGCAAATTGAATACAGATTATTATGAAGTCCTTCTTAAATCCTTCTTAGCTTTGAAAGTCTCTTACGGAAATTATCTGACGACTTTTCCTACGTGGCCTTGACATGCTCTCTTTTGGCCTGTCAGTCCCTGGGCAACCACAGTTTTTTTGCTGCCCAACTAGGGCTTTAACTTTTTATCTACACCACCGCGCGTAATACAAAGCTCTATATCCATATATCTACAACCACTACTTCTTAAATACATAGCAAGAGATATTTAGCCAAAGCCAAAAGCTTTGTGATATTGCTACTGAGTACTCAGCTCGAGAAGGAGGTCATTTAATATGAGTATGCATCACTTATATTATACTGGCGAGTCGTTATAACTATAAGACAATAGTTTGTCTGTGTATAATTTTATCTTGCTGAATTATATTACTGTCATTTCAAAGACCTCAGAGGTAACATAATTTGACTCTTTTAGGAGAACCATAAAAACTGGGTCATGGCAAATAAATCAAATAAAAAATTTTTTTGGGCTCAATGTAGTATTTGAGTTTTAAAAGGGATCGGAATAATCTGCACAGTTTATTAATAATAGTAATAATGGAAAAAGTCCGGAGCTGTTTTATTTTGCATACCTACAACCCTGTAGGTTGAGCAAAAGAACTCTATTGATCAAATTGTTTGTTGCTTATTATTGAAAATTATTATTCAGAATTTCGAAGAAGCACATAGGGTTATCAGATCTCAGCATTTATTCTTTGTCACGCCACAAGACAGTTTTATTTAACCGATCTTTCACATTTAACGCAGTTACTATGTACAACTCTGTCCCGGAAATAATAAATAACATTTGAACGATCACCTCCTGCATAAATAATTGTATCTTTTGCATGTATGTGCTTGAAGGTTTAATTTCAAACTTATATAGATTCACATTATTTTGTTCAAAGTTATACCTTTTTCTATATATAAGTGGAAGAATGGCTACATGAGATAAACTCCGCCGTTGTATAATGTAATCATTTCATCAATGATTATTATTGTATTGTATTGGACTCAGTGATACAAATGAGAAGCATTGGACTCTTAAGTAAGTGATTTGCATCCATATGCATCCAAAGACATACTTGACATGTTGTTTTTTTCAATGAATGTGTATCACGTATCACTTCGATAAATTATGCCTAAAATACGCATCCGCGCTTCCAACAGTTACGAGAAAATTTGACTTAATGGGGTTTTCGAAATGAACGGATTCAATACTATCGTTTATATCTACCTTTGATACTATGAGCTTTCTATATTTATTCTTCCACCAAATCAATCAATATTATCTATATATGGAGCAGATAGGGATAAGATTTATTATGTAATGGATTGGTGAACAATAGTAGAGTAATGGCTGGAAACAGAGAAAGTAACAGCTATTTAATTGGTTATCTGCAGGATGGTGGCAGAAACTGATTCAGCTCTATATTGATTAGGAGAACAACTGAAAGTATATTACAATTTCCTAGAATTTCTGGACATAGACATATATATGTGTTCCTTAATGATTTGCGAATCTTTAAGAAACAATATGTGGTACATGCATGATGGTACACCAGGGCATTTCAGTGTTCGTAATTACGAGTATTTACAAACTGTTTATCCAAATCGTTGGATTGGCCGCGGTGGGCCCTAAGAATAGCCACCAAGGTCCCCTACCTCAACAGCTTAGATTTCTTTTTGTGAGGATATCGTAAGACACTAGTGTACACAAGTCCCATTAACACTGTAAAAGAATTAAGAGAAAGAATAGTTGCAGCTTGTGATAGAATAAAAAACACTCTAGGGATATTTCAACGAGTGCACAGTTCCATGAGAAGGAGGGCGGAAGCATGCATACTAAGTGAAGGGGCTCATTTTCAACAATTTTTGTACTCATTTCGTTGGTTTTAATGTTATGTTTATGTTGTCAGTTGTTGTTGTTCATTACCCCTAATGTGTTTATCTTTTCCGATTAAATTAATAATAATTTTGCAAGTTAGACAATAGAACGGTTTTTATTTTTTTTAAATCAAAAAACACGCATCGAAGGAAAACAATTTAAGTCAGGTCATTTATTTTAAATTGAACGGGGAATTCAAAAATGATTTTTATTTGGCAAAAAACCATTGGCGTATCATATTTATGTTAGAAAATATCGAAGTCAATACCCGCCCGCACGCCACTGTTAAAGTTAAAAATAATTTTTGCATTGAAGAATATGCAACGTTATTAACTTCCACTGCGTACTAAATATCAGTGAAATACCTGAAGCGGTTCTAAAAATATTGATTAATTTCTATTTTTTTTCCTAAAACTTCAACAGCACCAGTCTTGGTAAGGAAACATTTTTGGACCATAGTTTATAAAGCAAACTAACATTAATTTTCCATGTAGGTTCACCCCCTTAAATATTTGCATATCAGCGAACATAGTTCACATACACTTTCTTGAAACTTATTGCGTTTCATTGCTTCTTAAGTTGAGACAAATCTCATCTAATTCCCATTGCACAATACCTTACTCGAATTAACTTACTTAACAGGGTGGTACCACGTACAATTTGACTGAGTCACATAGTAAATCAAAATCTGAAATTGAACTGTCTTCTTTTAGGACCTAGGATGTTTTCACCACTAACAAGAACTGGACGTGGTCAGGCAGCATGGTCTAGCAACGATGATAAAAAGAACAACAATTTTGTGGACCTCGGAAATTCTTCACCTTATTTCTCTCAAGACATCGAAAAAGTTGCGTGTACATGTAAGATCTTATTATCAGTACATTTTTACAACTTATCTTCATAGTAATGGCAATAGTTTAATGAGCGTTTCAAGTTTGGTTGCCAAAACTGGTAGCTTGGAAACATGAGCTTTGTGACTGGGAGTTCTTTAATCCAACAAATTCCGGACCGATTCTGAACTGGTTCTGGTTCAAATTTGCTTGGGCGTCGATCAGCTGGTTGTAGCTGTGAAGCTGGGTCTTTGATGATACCCTCTGAATTATTTTATGAACACCATATTGAAACCTAGTAGACGAAAACACTTTTTGAATTTGATATCATGGATCTATGCCATCTATAGAATGTCATCAGTCATCTACGATACGATAAATTATGAACAAAAATTATAGAGATGCCGATATCTACACGATAATCAGTAACTACGTGGCAACACAAACCTGCATTTTTTAAATGGATTGCCTTATATATTTCAGTATATGTTCAAAGGCCCATTAAACAGAACGAGTTACATATTTTAGGGTCTATATCGTAACCTCTGGACCTAGGCATACGTTGTCCAAAAAACACTAGACTTCGATAACTTGTTAATCAGTCACTTAAGCCACATATCACGTGGCTTCTCGTCATTCAAGCATTCTCTAAATCTTGTGCATGTTCTATTCAGGGTATTAAACGCAAAATGTTATTTTTTGTGATTGTGATCAAATGAAAGAGCGTTTTTGTAGGTAAGCAAGGTTATATATGAAGTACTCCTTGATTTAATATTAGTATCAGGGGCCTGTCTTATACAAATCTATAATTTTTCTCTAGTTTGGAAGATACTTCACAAGAAATCGCGTATATTCATTAGATCCATTACATCAAACAAGTTTTTTTGATAGGATGAATTATTCTACGCGAAAGTTTTACGTCGCGAATACTAAGATCGGGTCTAAGGAACAATATAAAAATGATAGGACAGAAGACTGTGTAGCAATTTTAGAACGTATAAGTTCGAATAAAAAGTTGTTTCTGACGTTTCAGGTAGACCTGTCAAAGATCAACAAACAACCAGTAACAGGGAAAGTGACGAGGACCAAGCAGCGTTAACCCAACTCAAATGATCAATGAATATTTTGTAAAGGTACAATAAACAAAAGACTAATAAAGTTGAATGAGCATCTCAATCTCCAACTTTCATCTGAAGGATACTCAGACATTGGGTGGAATTTTATTTCGGATATAGTCTGCCATAATAAAGTACTCCTACCAAAGCTTGAGCCTCCGATTCATTTCTGCAGATTCATTAAACAAAAATATAGGTTGCTATCAAAACTATGTATCGTGCAACCAAAAAACCTGTACTTTAATTTAACAGGTATCAATACTCAAATATGCTCTAGCATTTTAGATACCCCAATCTTGCTTAGCACAGTAGATTAGTAAAGTGCAGAATAGTAGAATCTCAACCATGTGGAATTCTGGTAAGCTCTATGGCAGCAAAGAATATCCTGTATTAGTGGAAAATTTTTCGAATTTGATGAAACACATGGAAAATCAGAATATACTTGGGATCTAAGATGTAGAATCAAAAAATTGGTTTGTTGCTCGAATTAGATGAGTTTGATGTTTCAAGGTCATATATCAAAACACTATCAAAAGCTACAGCCGACCAATGGTACCGCTGATACATTAGGGTTTTCGCTCAAACAGTTTTGGAGGCAGCTTTTTCTGGGATAGATACAAACATTTATTCGATTTGCAGTTAGGAGTATCTGATTTTCAAACTGACAATTCTCTATTCATGTGACAAAGCGAACTATTTGCGCCATTGCTAGGTCTCTATTGGCTCCACGTAAAACCGATTTCACCATAGAGATCACGCCTATATACTCCAGTACCAGGCCAACCATGTTTCCTTTTTTGATCGACAGTTCCCCCCACTAAGCACTTCGCTCCTGGCAAACGGAAATGATGATCATATTCAAATTCAAAGGCTATCTAATAAAGAACGAAACGTCAGTGAGTTTTTTTAGTCAGCAACTGTGATTCCACTTAATTATTGGACAATGAAAAAAAAAAGAGAAAATAATGTATGGATAAGTCGGTAGTTACATTCGTTTGTAGATGTGGAATTATAGATTTAGGATTAAAACATTTGAAAGGGTTTCTTTAAACTATCATCCCAACCTCGTTTTCTAGTTTCAGATCTTTTATTCGTATTTCTTTATTCTGTTAAAAATATTTAGTAGACTTATTTATAAAAACATGTGCTCAACAGGTTCTCAAGTGGTATGGACACATGAGCGCACTTTGGCTTCTGAGTCTCCAATAAAGAGATTATGCTATGTTACAAGAATTTACAACCAAATAATAAAATAAGTAAAGTTCGAAGCAAGAGAACGCGTCCTTTTTAGAATTTTGGGTGAAATTTGACAACATTCATGTCAGTTCCAACTGACAAGACAAGGTATCCTCAAATTAAGGAAACATTAAATAAAGGGAAACGAATATAAAATATTCCATAATTAAATAACTTCACAAAACTATACGTATATATTATCATACGGGTCCTCAAAACTTCATAGACATCTTTGACGTACGGTCCGATGTTTTCATTTACCTTTTCGAGAGTTTTGCAGTTGAATCTGGTTTTCCATCAGTCTGATACATCTTGTAGATTACTAACTTTTCGTCCGTAAAGTTTAGAAAACAGAAGTGGTAGGCAACTTTGAACATGTACAGGGAGTTTTCAAAGTTGAGCCATTTATTTTAACTGCTTGTAATAGTAAAAAATTAAAAATTTTAAAAATAAGAATTTTATTACACAGATTTCTTGATATTCTCGACCACTGCCGTGTAAAATCTTAGCGTTTTTTGTTTACTACTCTTATCGTTTATCTAAATGTGCCAAACTTTTTGTGTTATTGTTTGGTTTTCAGTACGAGTCTTTGGTTAGATCAGTTGTATCAGTCTTTTAGTAGCGCGTATACTTTCATTTGTCTGATTATTTTGCGCGAAAAATAAATGACAACATCTTGTACAGGGATTGGATTTGAACGATTAGAGGTTTAAGCTTTAAGTTACGTTTCCAATACACAAACTTCCTCAAAATAGTTCTTGTTTTCGAGACAGCTGACAATAAATATGATATCCGTTTGTCAACAGTCAAAATGATGATTGAAAAAATACCTGGGTTATGCTGAAATTCAAGCTCATCTTGTTTTTGAGGTTGCCGGTAAGAAACTGGTGCCGATTTTTTCAAAAACAGAAAATTGGCGAATCCAATATGGTGGACATCTCTGCAAAAAAGTCTATGTTGCTCTCGAATTTCAGCTTTTTAAGGCTCGCTGTTAGTATCGATTTTCCAAAAATCAGAATGGTGGATACAAAATTGGTTGAGAGAAGAGCAAATGGTAAACTTCGCCAATCAGTACGCTGTAGTTTTTTAATCCTGTTAATAAAGACGTGTATTATTGTCATTATATATGCAAAAAGATGGTCTAATTGCTCAATTTTGAGTCCTGTATATTCTCAAGGCAAGTTATTTGCCATATCTTAATGCAGTTCGTTCTTTTCAAATGTGGCGCTATTGGGTTATACACTTTGCGACATATCTGCGCTTAGAATAGAACGTCGAATGAAAGTCAGTTTTGCAGGTGACGATCATCAGATTTTTATCTACCTGTACATAAAAATGTATTGGCCACCTCTGACTTGGAAAATATAGAGTTCCTCTGAACGGGTGAGCTAGGTATTAGATCTGTTAGAACATTGGCTCAATGGCTCGAGGGTTCGAATCCCGACCACGAAAGTTATATTTCGAGCCAAGGATGTTGCGTTTGTCTATACACGTACGCACTAGGTAGCTGTAAGATTGAATAAATATTTGGCAACGCTGGAGCCGGTTTATTTAATAATCACTTACCAGCAGTTTCCAGAGCAGTACGGTCTACTGAGAAATTGGAAGCCTAGAACTTAGCGAACATGTAAGAGGGTAGAGACGTAAAATGGGAGCAAGCTTCTCTATCCTGTTTAAAGTTGCAACCAATAAAAAAATGTCAAGTGTCAAATGTCAGCAACTAACTCATTCCACAAAAAATAAATGGGCATTGTCAGTCAGATCACAATGCGAGCTGGCATACAGTTCTAACAGCTTTCTGTTTTCACCTTCGCAGTGGTCGATTCTGGTGTTAGATGACACTTTGTGCTGTCTTATTCCGGCTAAAAATGAAGTTTGAGCGATTTTTTTACTTTCAAAAACTACAAACCTCTTTCGTCCTTGACATAGTAATAACCTTAAGTGAAATCCAGCAGTACTTTCCGAGTTGCTAGAGATCAAGGACTATCAAGCAGGCGGAGAGACATACAGACTGACGGAAATAAGGGACATGGCGTTTCGTGACGTACCTGTCATGTAACATCATCTCCAGTTGGCGTACGAGCAAAAAATCTAAAAATTAAGTTGTAAACGAACCAAGGTTACCTTCTCCTACCTGTGAAACCCGACAATGCGCATAAAAGACATTTTTGAAAGTAAATAATGATCACTTTATTCTTTTCCAAGCGGCAGCATTCTACCATTAGAAACCGAAGAAATTTATAAGGATTACAAGCCTTCCTTTTGAAACGGTATAAAGTCACTCCATCCGTGATACTTTTGCTAAAGTGGTGGTATCAAAGTTAATTTAGAGCTGGTCTAAAATGAAGGTAATGAAAGGTATTTTTATTCGTTCGAGCATTCATTTTAATTTATATAACGGCTTTTCCAAGAAGGCGTGAGAGAGAGAGTCACAACGTAAATGAAAAGTGAATTCTCTAATACCTGTATCCATTTAACATCAGGCCAAGGGGTGAATAATAAGCAATTCATATACAGGGTGAGTTTATAAGGGCGCCTCGGTAGATCGGTGGTTAGAATCTCCGCCTCGGATGTTTAATTCCGAGCCATCGATGTTGTGTGTTGTCTATATCGCGCAGGTTGGTGTAATATTGACTATATCAGTTACCAGTAGATGGCTCGTGGAATGGAACAGTGTTGGGCCTGCGAGCTTCCAGGCTTCGAATCCCCACTACTATTGCTACTATTACTACAGGGTGAGTTTTTAGTGTGGACTCTGATATTATGCATGACATCGGAAAAAGGTGAATATATTGTAGCCAGTAGTATGGCCTCTACTTGGAAAAAATATATTTCTAAATGGTAATTTATAACTAAGTGATGACCAGAACATACACCTTTTTCAAAGGGAAAGCTCTACATTTCATTACAGATTTGCATAGGCCCTATATACTATTCGTCGGAGCGGTCCGGTGGACCTCTTAGTTAAAAGACTCGTCGGTCTGTTAGTCTGTCAGGTCTGGCTACCCAGATACCAAACATGTTTAAGGACAGAAAGGAAGGAAGAAATAGAGCAAAGAGAATAAGTAAATAATTTGAATACTCGAATTTTGTAGCTCCCAAAAATAATTTTCATCGGTTTTGTATACTGAAATAATTTTGGCTGGTCTGAATTTACAATTCAATTTTGACCACAGTGCGAGGCGCGGCCTGGAAAATTTGGGGAATTGCTCGACTGTGTAGTTAACTGAATCACGCAACAGAGGGTTGCTGTGCGATTCGGCTTGATTATAATGCCTGTTATTTTACATAATCCCTTAGAAATGGGATATCAAGATCTCTGTGAATGGTCTCATTCGACACGTATCAAGAGGCGTTAGTAATTGTGCGTAGGGTTCTGTTTTGCAGGACTTGCAGCCTCTGCACGTGCGTCTTGGAAAGAAAACACCAAGCCGCGCATGCGTAGGTGATTGCGGGTCTTATGACCATTCTGTAAAACCGAACCTTGTTTATTAGACTTAATTTTGAGTTTCTGCACAACAAAGGATAAAGCTACCGAAAGGTAATTTGGAATTTTGTTTTCAAAATATCAGTACGTTTCTGCCAAGTCAACCCCTTGACTCCAATATACCTGACAGATGGTATACGAGTTCCATTCATTGATATCTCTGAGGGGGCACCGCGACGTTTTTCAGTACAATAGATTGCCTGCGTTTTCGAAGTATTAATTTTGATCAACCACCGATCCGCCTACTCCAATACTTCCTCCACAGCACTCTGCAGCCTGTCGTGAACCAGGTTAGCAGAACAGCACTGGGCTGGCAGTGCAGTGTCGTCAGCATAGAG